CCCCAGTTCCCACTTATTTCTCATTCTAGGCATCTATTTTGAAGTTTAGAAAGCACCCCTATAAAAAAAAGATTAAAAAAAATGTTAAATTATCTGTAATCAGATCAACAAGTCACATGATCTGTATAACCGATATTCCTATACCGAAGAATTCATTATAGTGTTAACGAAGTTGCTTATAACGAAGCCCTGATCAGCTGGAACCTAGGGTTCGTTATATCGAGAGGGGACTGTACTTAAAGTTAATATTTTAAAGATAAACTTTTATTTGTAATGAGAATTATCATATTTTGGAAGTAGAATTATAGATGAAATATCATGGTGAGAGCTATCGCAGTTTAAAAGTTAAGTAGGAATATAAATTTAAACCAAGCAAAAACATATAAAGATAATAAGACAAATACCTTTTATTTATCGATGGGTGGCAGAAGTTGGTAACAATGCTATATCTGAATTATTCTTTAAAAAAATTTTTTTATTTATTTTAAATTTTTGATACGAATTTAGATATTATTGTAAATATAATTCAAAAAAAGAGAATCTAAAACTTTTTATTATTATTGTTCATAAAAAGATTGTTTAAAGGAAAAATTAAATAAGGATTTCAATAGTAATAAACATTTTGATAAGCAATCAATGGAACAGTTTACTTGTAAGGGATATGTTAAAATAATCATTTGTAAAAATTCCACATTTTCCAATATAGAAATTTATTATGTTTTACATCTAATATGATTAAATTTTACAATTTCACCAGTAGTCAAATAATTATTATTAAACAATATTGATTTACTTTTACATGAAATATATAAAAGGCTTGTTGATTGTAGTTTAGATATCAATATTTAGCAGAAAGCCAGAAACAGATACATTTTTAATGGGTTGAACTTGAAAAATCCTGATATATATAAGCAAAATGAGAACTCTTTTATTTCTGCAGTTAAGTGGCTTTTAGAAAAATCCTATTAAATTATATTTTGAAAAGAAAGTCCAAAAGTTTTTGGCTTTTTAATTGAATTGTGAAATACACTGAAATATTTTCAGTTTAAAATTCGTGAAATTGGTATTGATATTACGTGTAAATAATTATTTCAAATAAAAAACAATGTTACAATGTTTTTATTTATTATAAATTATATTTTTGATTATTTAAAAAAATTTTATTTATTATAAAATATTATGTTTATTTAACTCAAAATATTATTAAAATTTCATATATATTATTTATGAATACATAATTTCTTTTCTTTTTATGAATTTAGATAATACCAATAATTTAAAATTTGAGTTATATGTAGTACATGCTGAAGTTAATGGAATGGGAGTTCTATTAGCTTATTTATTTATTGAAAATAATGGAAATTGTAGCAATGGTATTCAAACTGAAGTTATAATTGACTTTAATTTAATTAAAAACTTATGGTCTTAAAACAATTTTTTATTACCAACAAAGATTTTGCTCAAATCTCTGCTGCCTGTTTTATATAAAGTAATATCAAACTACAGTTATATCTTTGGCATGTCAAAAAAGTAATAGAAGCGAAGTTAGCAAATAATAAAAAACTTTAATTTAATTACAATAGTATTGCAATGTAGCAGCAATTTTCATTTATTAATCCATTATTTTATCCAAGTATAACTAAAGAAAAAATGGTTTTTTGCCAAAAGAAATAAGACTATTAATATGAAAAATGATGAATAGTAGTTACCTTTATAAACATCCACTTATTTCAATAATAGATGGATAATTTCTTTCTTTAGTTTCTATTTGGAAGATGGCAGTTAAAGAAATTTATAATTTTTATAAGCAAAATTCTTTACCCTAGCTTTGAGTATATTTATGGAATGAGTGGTACAATGCAAATCATTAGTTTTTATGGTTTTATGCTAGATGTGATGATAAACTTTCTGTTTTTAAAACCAATATGTTTGTCAAGGCATATTAAAAGGTGTTAAAATGTGATTTTCTATATATACAAATTTTTTTGCTTGTGTTTAGATTTAATTATATTTGTCATTATAGAACAAGTAGTTCTACATAATAAAAGAAAGTTTGAACAAATTTTTGTAGTAAAATGGGAAAAAGTTGATTGGAAAAAGCATTTAAGAAAGAATGGAAGATTTTTGTACACAAATACTTAATAATAGTGCATATTTTACTCACATTGATAACTGGATTTATGGG